AGCTGTTTTTTCTTGTGACTTCATATTTATCTCTAGACATTCTAAAAAAAGTTATAAACATCAGGAGGCCGAGAATGACTGTCTTCATCCTTCCTTGGGGGACGAACTTGGCAGACAAGGCTAGTATGGATGGGCAATAATTAAATTGCCACGAATAGCATCTAATGTAATTGAGACTAAGAAATTATCTCATTGTGTTGGCGTATGCCTGTGATCCCAGCTACTTGGGAGGCTGAGGAAGGAGAATCGTTTGAACTTGGGAGGTGGATGTTGCTGTGAGCCAAGATTGCACTACTGCACTCCAACTTCGGTGACCGAGAGCGAGACTACATTTAAAAAAATGTTATAAATATTTGGACTAAAACTATAAAAAGTGAGGCCTCAGGTATCTCCAAGTAGAAGAGGGAGAAATTCTAAGCAAATGCAGGAATATCTTTGCTATCTTGAAAAAAATACAGATTGCTTTATTTTGTGGAGCCATTCTTCACTCAAATTGAAGGCAGAGTATTACAGAGTGTTATTTTAAATTTAAGCTGTCTAAGTTTGTTTTTGAGTCCCATTGTGTTCCAGGATTCTGATGTCTTGTGGAGACGGTCACAGAAATTCTTGGATGGTGTGACAGTAGCTGATAATGCAGAAAAGGCTGAAGTGAGTGATGACGAGAGATAACCGAGAAGGCTTCTAGAATAGGCGGGCCTAGGCAGTATGGGATTCAGGAGAGAAAGAGCTGGAAGGAGAGCAACTGGGGAGAAAATAGAGCCTCAGAAGAGTTTAGCCCATGCTCTTTTTTTTTTTCACCCAGACTAGAGTGCAATGGCGTGATCTCAGCTCGCGGCAACCTCTGCCTCCCGGATTCAAGCAATTCTCCTGCCTCAGCCTCTCCTGCTTCAGCCTCTCAAGTAGCTGGGATTATAGGTACCTGCCACCACATGCAGTTAATTTTTGTATTTTTAGTAGAGACAGGGTTTCTCCGTGTTGGCCGGGCTGGTCTCGAACTCCTGACCTCGGGTGATCCACCTGCCTCCGCCTCCCAAAGTGCTAGGATTACAGGCATGAGCCACTGCGCCCGGCCAGCCTTTGCTCTTTTGGTGAGTGTTTGGTTTTCACTTCACCTGTCCTCATATGCTTCCCCCAAAACCCATGAAGTGTCAGGGACCAGCTATTATGTGAAACATCTTGCTTAGAATGCTCTTAGGAATGTAGCAACACAGTCCATCTCCTTGAAGTAAATGGAGAAATTGCTTCCTTTGGTGTGTTCTAGCTTGTCTATTCAGAATTCACTTGGCACAGTGAATCAGAGAAGAATGACTGTCTTCATCCTTCCTTGGGGGACGAACTTGGCAGACAAGGCTAGTATGGATGGGCAATAATTAAATTGCCACGAATAGCATCTAATGTAATTGAGACTAAGAACTTGTGCACATGTGTCCCAAACAAAGCACTGTCTCACACAGAGGATCCCCGGAGCCTTTGAACCCTTTCTTTACCATATTATGAGAAGCAGTATGTTAACATTAGAAAACATTTTGAATAGCTAAGAGTGGACAAATGCGTTGTAAGAAAAAAAGAGTCTCTTTCTGCCTAGCAATTTTGAAAGGCAAAAACTGATCGGCTTAATTTCTCACTTCTTTTTCCACTTTTGAAGAAAATGAAATGGAAACATTTTACATAGGATTGAAAGAAGAAAGCAGGGTTTTACCTTTGCTCATTAAAAATAGTATCTTTAAAAGCTTCATTTTTATGTTTTGCTAAGGACTGGGGGATGAGGAAGAGGCAATTCAGAAAATTCTAAAAGCAGTAAATGTAGGTAGTTTCAAAATTTTAAACAGGCTTTGCTTTCTGTGTTTTTTAAGGTCAGCAGTGTTAACAGAGCACATTGCAATCACAGATAAATGGGTTCTTCGTCTCTTTCCTTTGTGTTGCCACAGAACTTTGAACTTCTGTTAGGGTTTCATCACACTCTGCTAATCTCCGTTTTGTTCATTGCCCCCTACTTTACACCGAGGCCTCTTTCCTCCTCGTTTATTCTTTGTTAATGAGGATTTTGGATGTTTTCAGCCCTGTTTCTAGTCAACACCTGGTCCAGGAATCTGTGTCCCTAGGATCGTCATAGAAGGACAATCACTAGAGAAGATTGTTGTAGAGGTGTCAACATCTCTCTCTCTGTGTGCATTGTTTTGTGGAGTTTTTTTGTTTATTTTACAGAAATAAGGTCTCACTGTGTTGCCCAGGCTGGTCTCAAACTCTGAGGCTCAAGTGATCCTCTTGCCTCGGCCTCTCAAAGTGCTGGGCTTACAGACGTGAGCCACCACGCCCAGCCCGTGTGCGTTGTTTTTATAGCAGATAAGAATAATGTTTTCCTATAATTTCGGAAGTATATGGTTATATTACTATATAATGACTTTCAACTATAAAGAAGAAAGAAATGGGGCCGGGTGCAGTGACTCACGCCTGTAATCCCAACACTTTGGGAGGCTGAGGAGGGCAGATCACCTGAGGTCGGGAGTTCGAGACCAGCCTGACCAACATGAGAAACCCCATCTCTACCAAAAATGCAAAATTAGCTGGGCGTGGTGGTGCATGCCTGTAATCCCAGCTACTTGGGAGACTGAGGCAGGAGAATTGCTTGAACCCGGGAGGCAGAGGTTGCAGTGAACTGTGATCGTGCCATTGCACTCCAGCCTGGGCAACAAGAGCAAAACTCCGTTTCAAAAAAAGAAAGAAAGAAAGAAATGGATTCGTAGTATATATGGATTGAGTGGAGTTCTACGGGGTTTTGTTTAACTAACATCTCAAAAGTGATACACAGAAGACTTTTCTCTGAACACTGTACCTAAAGTAACATCCTTCCCCTAAATACACAAGATCATATTGTCCTATTTATTTTTCTTCTTGCATTTTTCATCATCAGAAATTATCTCATGTGTGTATATATATTATGATATAATATGTAGCGTATATATTTACTTTCTTATTGCTGTCTTTCCTTCTCTAGAATGTTAGATCCTTGAGGGCAGAAAATTTATTTCCAGCACATAGTACATGCTCCTTGACTTAAAAAAAATTAAAATGAAGCAGTCAATCATTTAGATCAGAGGTATCCAATCTTTTGGCTTCCCTAGGCCACATTGGAAGAATTGTCTTGGGCCACATATGAGATACACTAACACGAATGATCGCTGATGAGCTAAAAAACAAAAATTGCAAAAAAATATGATGTTTTAAGAGCATTTATGAAGTTGTATTGGGCCGCAGGTTGGACAAGCTTGATTTAGAAGGTTGTGATGGCTTAGATGTCAAGTATTTGATTTGAAAATGATTGAAAAACAAATGATTAGTTAGTTGTAAGGTAATTTAGTTTGGTTACAGTGAGTTACTAGTTAAACCGAGATTAACAGTTTAATATGTGAATGGTCTAACAATTGTCTGGGGAAATGGGGACTTTAATATTTAAAATTATATTTTTTAGTATTTCTTATCTCTGAAATTATAATTATTTCTCCATTCATAATTCACTCAGTACATTTGCTAGAGTGCCTACTTGTACCACCTGTATACTAGGGACACACAAATGAACAGGCTCTCTGTCCTATAAGGGCCTACCAGCTAAGCAGGGAGGCAGATGAGCCAGTGTAATCCAGGATTCTCCGTGCTATCATGGGAGCAAATTCTTGGCACTGTGGGTGGGACTGCTAACCTGAAGTTGAAGTTTCAAGGTAGAGACATCTAAGTTGAGACTGAAGAAGTCAGAATTACCAGTTGGCAGAGGGTGTAGTGTGAGTCAGAAAAGGATAGAGGTGGGGGTAGATTTGGAGAAAGAGGACAAAAGAGGAAGTAACATATTGAGAGGATCTGGAGCCTTGGAGAGAAAGGGACGTGGCTTTGCATGGAAGGGAATGTAGATTGTTGGGGTGGAGACTGATATGAAATGCAGCTGGGAATGTGCAGAAGAGTCAAGATATGGAAAGATCTCTTGTGTGATCCACTGTGTCTGGAGGACATTGAAACTCACTGGAGGGCTTTAAACCCAGGAGGGACATGGCTAGAGTTTTAGGGTACGTGGAAGATTTGATATGTTTATGATGTATGACCCAGTGTCCACCCTACAGTCACCAGTTTCCACAGTTGCAAGAGGGGAGGGTATAGAAATGGCTCAGGACAAAGCCATTCCTATTAATATATTTTCTTAAAATCCCTGGAGGCATGCAGGTTACTGTATGACTTGATTGATTAAATAACACCTTATAAAGAATCAGGCCAGGGACGGTGGTTCATGCCTGTAATCCCAGTACTTTGGGAGGCCAAGGCGGGCAGATCACTTGGGGTCAGGGTTTGAGACCAGCCTGGCCCACATGATGAAACCCCATCTCTACTAAAAATGCAAAAATTAGCTGGGTGTGGTGGCATGCGCCTGTAGTTCCAGCTGCTTGGGAGGCTGAGGCAGGAGACTTGCTTGAACCTAGGAGGTGGAGGTTGCAGTGACCTGAGATCATGCCACTGCACTACAGCCTGGGCAACAGAGCAAGACTCCATCTCAAAAAAAAAAAAAAAAAAAGAATCGGCCAGGCCGGCATGGTGGCTCAAGCCTATAATCCCAGCCCTTTTGGAGGCTGAGGTGGGTGGCCATCACTTGAGACCATGAGTTTGAGACCAGCCTGGCCAACATGGTGAGACCCCATCTCTACTAAAAATACAAAAAAATAGCCAGGTGTGGTGGCACACACCTATAATCCGAGCTACTGGGGAGGCTGAGGCAGGAGAATCGCTTGAACCCGAGAGGCAGAGATAGCAGTGAGCCAAGATTGTGCCACTGCACTCCAGTCTGGGTGACAGAGTGAGATTCCATCTCAAAAAAATAAAATAAAAAGAATCGGCCAAAGGATGTTCCCTCTCATCTGTCTGACATTCCTGTTAAAAACAAACGAATAAATTAAGGATGTTCCCATCCTCTGTCACACCTTTTTTTAAGAATCTTTTCTCCATCTTATTTCTCATCTTAGAACAACAAGCTCACCCTCTTCCGCCAGCTGCAGCAGATGACGTACAGCCTGATTGAGTGGCGGTCCCAGATCCTGTCTGGTACGCTCCCCAAGGACGAACTGGCAGAGCTCAAGAAGAAAGTCACAGCCAAAATTGATCATGGGAACAGGTAGGTAAACCAGGGATGACTTTTCACTGAAAACCTGGCAAACAGTGGGCACGTTCAAGCTAATGACACTGTTTGCAGCAGACTTTTGATCTTAGAGTTGCCAAAGAATAATGCTTACTGCTCTCATTTTGTCTTTGAAGACATTTAATTTTGTTGAAAAAAATGTTACAATTCCCTCCATGGCCAGACTCCGGGATCTCTGATCCCATGGAGATGACAGATGACCAGGAAAGATGAGGCTTGGATTGAGGCTGCTCCACTCCAAATGAAGAAAACAAAAACAAAAAACCTGGCTAGGCACAGTGACTCACACCTATAATCCCAGTACTTTGCGAGGATGAGGTTTGAGGAACGCTTGAGCCCGGTAGTTTGAGACCAGCCCAGGCAACATAGCGAGGCCGCATCTCTACAGTAAATATTTGAAAATTGGCTGGGTGTGGTGGCGCACACCTGTCATCCCACCTACTCGGGAGGCTAAGGTAGGAGGATCACTTGAGCCTGGAGGTTCAAGGCTGCAGTGAGCCATAATTGCATGCCTACACTCCAGCCTGGGCAACAGAGTGAGTCCCTGTCTCACAAACTAAACTAAACTAAAAATACCCTGAAAATGACCAAGCCTCTGAAGTTGTCATTTTCAGATACTTGGGACTGTATCTATTTTTATTCTTAACAGTGGATTCTAAATCAATACCAGACTGATTCTCTTTCTTTCTGTTCATCTCCCCCTAACCAGGACCATTGTCTACAGAGTATGAAAAGCAGACTTGCAGGAGTAGTAAAACATGTTTGTAGCCTGCTGATCATGTCTACAATCACCTCTACAGAGTTAATCACTTCATTAATCTTCTGATTAACTCAGGCACATATGCAGGCTGCAGATATCACTGCCTTCAGGAAAATGAGAAATTCAGTCATATATCCAAATCGATGGTGGCCTGGGATTTTTGCCTCCTGACCAGCTCTTTTTTAAAAGGCAGAAGTGGTTCCTTGGTTAGTTGTTATTGGTGACTCTTTTGGAATCTAGTTTCATTCTAAATTTCTTCAACTTATGCATATGCGATTTTTTTCCTCCTCCTCTACCCTGCTTTTCCAATCTCAGAATTCTTGGATATCCCTCAGAGACCTATTAAAATACAGATCATTATCCCACTTATTTAAATGTCATAGACTGTGACAACTATATCCTGAAGTAGCTGAAGTGAACATGCCATGCAAGATTCAGATTCAACCAGTATTTAGGAAACACCTTCTATGTACATTTCATATCCATTACTTGATTATAATCTTAAAACATAGGGTTGAGGTAGCTGTTACTATTTGCATCTTATGGATAAAGAAACAGACCAAGTGAGCTTAAGTGATTTACTTCCCAGTCACATAGATAATAAATGGGAAAGGTTTAATTTGAATCCAAGACTTTTTTCACCATATCTAATGCTGCCTTCTTAGGGTTAGGAATTAATAGTACCCTCCCCTACGACTTGAACACCCAGAAGACCATACCCACAGCGGCTGCACTGCCAGGCTTGCGGTGTCAGAGGACTTATTAAAAGGCCAATTAGGCCAGGTGAGGTTACTCATGCCTGTAATCCCATCACTTTGGGAGGCTGAGGTGGGCAGATCACCAGAGGTCAGGAGTTCGAGACCAACCTGGCCAACATGACGAAAACCCATCTCTACTGAAAGTATAAAAATTAGCTGGGCATGGTGGCGTATGTCTGTAATCCCACCTACTTAGGAGGCTGAGGCACAAGAATCGCTGGACATCAGGAGATGGAGGTTGCAGTGAGCCAAGATCACGGCACTGCACTCCAGCCTGGGTGACAGTGAGACTCCATCTCAAATAAATAAATGGCCAATTTGGTGGGATAAGGCAGCTCTCCATTGCACATAGAACACTTCTGTCATTTGGTGTGTTGCCATGACATTGGCCTGGAGGTCCTATGATCTCTGGCACAGGATATTCACACCCCACAAACAGCAGAACATGACTTCTTTCCCGTTCCAGCTCTTGGAAGTAGCTCAGGAAATGGACCTGCTGTGTCAGTGCCTTCCTGATCCAGTCTCTGAGCAGCCAGCATGGCCATCGTTCATGAGTCTGGGTGGCCTGTGGGTCTGGCTGCCATGGAAAGGAACCTGCCAGATCAAATCAGTTGATGGAGATGCTTTAAAACAGGAAGGAGGGAGAGGAGGCATTTTTGCTTTCTTCCCAAAGACTTGGCACATTTCAGTGTTATCCCTGAGTAGTCTTGCTCTTTGGTGCCGGGAATGTATGCTGGATATTCGGATAGCAGTATCCTATTCCACCACAGTCCTCAACTTCTTGAGCCTAAGAAAATTTTTTTCTACTTCTGTGTGCACTTTGGGCACAAAAGCCTTGAGGGGAGGGATTGCACCCACGATATGGCCCTTGGTATTCCCAAGAACACGCAGAGCTACAACTTCACTCACAGCCAGGTGTTTGTTTCTACCAGTTGCTGCAGTAAGAGCTGCTCACACTGCTATAAAGAAATACCTGAGACTGGGTAATTTATAAGAAAAGAGGTTTAATTGACTCATAGTTCTGCTGGCTGCACAGGCAGCATACCAGCTTCTGCCTTTGGGGAGGCCTCAGGAAACTTACAATCATAGCAGAAGGGGAAGCAGGCACATCTTACATGGCCAGAGCAGGAGCAAGAGAGATCAGCCAGATCTCATGAGAACTCTGTCACAAGAACAGCACCAAAGGGATGGTGTGAAACCGTTTATGAAGGATCCACCCCCATGATCCAGTCACCTCCCACCAGGCCCCACTTCCAACACTGGGGCGAATGTGAGATTTGGGTGGGAACATAAATCCAAACCATATCAAGAGCTAACATTTATGCTTAAGCTGAGAGCATTACTTACATATTGTATTAGGTGCTGTACATGCATTATCTTATTAAATTCTCACAACAGGGCCAGGTGCAAAGGCTTATGCCTATAATCCCAGCACTTTGGGAGGCTGAAGTGGGAGGCTCACTTGAAGCCAGGAGTTCATGACTAACCTGGGTAACAGCGAGACCCCATCTCTACAATTTTTTTTTTTTTTTTAATTAGCTAAGCATGGTGATGTAAACCTGTAGTTCCAGCTACTTGGGAGGCTGAGACAGGGATTGCTTGAGGCCAGGAGTTTAAGGCTGTCTCTAAAAAAAATAAAAATAAATAAATAAATTCTCACAACAACCTCGAAGGGTGAGGAATATATACAGATGAAGAAACCAAAGTTTTGCAGAGTTGAGTAAATTCTCCAGGGTCGTAATGGTAGCAAGTATTCAAGCCAAGATTCAAATCCTGGTTTAAATGACACCAGAGCCCATGCTCTGAGTATGAGATAGCAGTAAGCCAGGACTTACTTCACTCATCTCCTTTATGACCATCTTGAATTAAGGAAATCAAGGCATGCCCTCCAATAATTGTTCATTGGTCCTTCATAGCAATGTAATAGACAGTGAGACCATGCCCACTTGGTCTGTTTCTTTACTCATATCATGGAAATAATAACAATTACCTCCACCCTACCTCATGGTGTTATGATCAGTCAATGTATGTGAAGTGTATATAGGAGGTATATATGTATGTATGTATTTATTTATTGTTTCAGACAGGGTCTTGCTTTCTCACACAGGCTAGAGTGCAGTGGTGCAATGTTGGCTCATTGCAGCCTCAACTTCCTGGGCTCAAGCAGTCCTCACACCTCAGCCCCCCAAGTAGTTGGGACTACAGGCATGTGCCACTACACCTGGTTAATTTTTGTATTTTTAGCAGAGATAGGGTTTCAACATGTTGCCCAGGCTGGTCTTGACCTCCTGGTCTCAAGTAATCCACCTGCCTCGGCCTCCCAAAGTTCTAGGATTACAGATGTGAGCCACGGCGCCTGGCCAAAGGAGGCGTTTATTAAACACAGGTGGAATCTTAATTTTGTATGCTGTATTTTCTTCATTTCATAGTTCCTCTTCATAATAACAGAAGATTACAGGCAAGAAGCATTGGCCAGAGGAATTTAGTCAGAATCAGTGCCGATTTTACTTTTCTCTTGAGGATCTATGGACCATATTTGCATATCCTTCTACGACTTTGGCTCACGTCATCTTGTGAGTTTTGTAACAGTGTTGAAAGGTGGCAGAAGCTGAAATGAGAAAAGTCAGTGAGCTGTGCTTCCCTTGGCTTGTCCAGCATCTCCCTTTCTAACTATGGATCCTCTGGGCTCCTTGATGAGGACTCCTCAGTAAAAAGTCTGCCCCTGGTGAGGAGAACCAGCTGACTACTCCTTTCTCTCCAGAATGCTGGGGTTAGATCTGGTGGTGCGAGATGACAACGGGAACATCCTAGACCCTGACGAAACCAGCACCGTTGCCCTCTTCAAGGCCCACGAGGTGGCCTCCAAAAGGATTGAGGAGAAGATCCAAGAAGAGAAGGTACAATTCCTCAAATGTGAAATTCTGCCCACTGAGTTTCCATTTTTGCCTTGATTTTTAATGAAAGAAAGGGAAATCGTTGAGAACAAAACTACTTCTGTAGTTTGGTCCCCATTTTAAAAGTGAAACAGCAGAAAGGATGAGGCAGGTACATATATATATATATATGTTCTGATATGGAAAGATCACAAAGATACGTATTAAGTGAAAAGATCAGGATCCATAACGGTGTATATAAAAATGCTATTATTTGTGTTTCAAAAAAATGTGTGTAAATCTATGCTTGCATATACATAGACTAACTCTGAAATAATAGACAAGAAATAATTATTAATGGATGTCCTCTGGGAAGGAAAACTGGGTGGGAGGGAGACTTTTTAAATGCGTAATCTCTTGCATTCATTGCATATATTGCAATTATAAATAAATAGTATTTATTTATTTTTATTTATTTATTTATTTATTTTTGAGGTAGAGTTTCACTCTTGTTGCCCAGGCTAGAGTGCAGTGGCACGATCTCGGCTCACCACAACCTTCGCCTCCCGGGTTCAAACGATTCTCCTGCCTCAGCCTCCCGAGAAGCTGGGATTAGAGGTGTGAGCCACCGAGCCCGGCCAATTTTTGTATTTTTAGTAGAGACGGGGTTTCACCATGTTGGTCAGGCCAGTCTCAAACTCCTGACCTCAGGTGATCCATCCTCCTTGACCTCCCAAAGTGCTTGGATTACAGGCATGATCCACTGCACCTAGGCTAAAATAAATAATATTTTAAAATAAAGTGTTTGAAAGGCTTTGAAAGTAATAATTGGACATTAAAGAAAAATTAGAATCAGTGCATGGTGGCTCATGCCTGTAATCCTAGCCCTTTGGGAGGTCAAGGTGGGCGGATCATTTGAGGCCAGGAGTCAAGACCAACTGGGCAACAGAGCAACATAGTGAGACCCCTTATCTACAAAAATTTTTTTTTAAAATTAGCTGGGCATAGTAGTGCATGACTGTAGTCCCAGCTACCCAGGAAGCTGAGGCAGGAGGATCACTTGAGGCTGGGAATTTGAGGCTATAATGAACTATGATCATACCACTGCACTCCAGCCTGGGCAACAAAGCAAGACCCTGCCTCTTGAAAAAGAAAAACAAGTTCGGGAGGCTGAGGCAGGAGAATGGTGTGAACCTGGGAGGTGGAGCTTGCAGTGAGCCAAGATCATGCCACTGCACTCCAGCCTGGGCGACAGAGTGAGACTCCGTCTCAAAAAAAAAAAAAAAAAAAGTTATTCATATTTTGATTTCTCAGACCCAAACATATTGAAATTTTGCTATATATTTTTCTTCCAGTCTTTCTGTTCTGATTTGTGTCAGTTTTCTTTGGTTTGTTGGTTTGTAGTGTTTACTTCTTTAGCGTGGTCATGATAATACTTGTGTTGTGAATCCAGTGGCAAGCCATGTCTGAAGTTAAAGCCTTTTCAGTGGAATATTTTGTTTTTAATGAGTTATTTCTCTATCCAGGATAATGGATCACGATGTTCATGCTTTTGAGCTTCGTTCAGAAGCTACTGTGTAAGACAAGCACTTCTTGGAGCTACCAAAACCCTGGAATTATCCCTTTTAGATAGCAATTTTTTTTAATGTCTTGGGTTCAAGGCCCTGAACAGGATAGTCTTGATCACTGAAATTATAATGATTATATTTTGCTCACTGCATTTGTCTGCTTACATACACTTTTTCTTAGCAAATGCATTTCCTCTTGGATGTTATCTGACTGTGTTTTGTTTTTTATTTATTGATTAATCAACTGATTGATTGAGACAGGGTCTCACTTTGTTGCCCAGGCTGGAGTTCAGTGACTCCATCCTAGCTCACTCACTGCAGCCTCTTCTTTTCCCACGTGGCCGGGACTACAGGCACAGCTAATTTAAAAAAAAAATTTTTTTAGAGACAGAGGCTTGCTGTGTTGTCCAGGCTAGTCTCAAACTCCTGGGCCTCTAGTAGCACTGGGATTACAGGAATGAGCCACTGTGCCCAGGCTGTCTGCCATTTGCAGGCTAATTTTTTTTTTTTGCCAACATTTCCCATTTGCCAAAATCAAAATGTTTTTCTCTGTTCCATCTTTGTTCAGTCAATCCTGCAGAACCTCGACTCGCGGGGCCAGTCCATCTTCAGTACCATCCACACCTATGGCCTCTATGTGAACTTCAAGAACTTTGTCTGCAACATCGGGGAAGATGCAGAGTTGTTTATGGCCCTCTATGACCCAGACCAGTCCACTTTCATCAGGTAGCAGAGACCCAGATCCCCTGCTGCTGACCTAGCAAAGATACCCAGCCTTCCCCGACCCCTACCCGGGCAGCTCTTTGCCAGATTTGAGAAGAGAAAATAGGGAAGCAGGGAAGATTTCTAAGCAGTAGAATGTAAAATCATATGGGCTGTGAAGCCTTCATATGTCACTACTGGAACAATGTGGCCAGTTTGTATACTCCCTGGGATTTAGAGATCACATAAAACTCATTAGGACTTGGAGATGGGAACAAAGAATTCAAGATGCTGCATGGGAAGGTGAGGGAGGGATAAATAGGCAGAGCACAGAGGATTTTTAGAGCAACGACACTATTCTGTGTGATGCTATGGTGGTGGATGCATGCCATTATGAATTTGTGTAAATGCACAGGACATTCGATACGAAGAGGGAACCCTTATGTAAACTGTGGACTTTGGGTAAATGATGTGTCATTGTAGCTTCATCAGTTTTAACTAATGTTACTACTCTGGTCGGGAGAATGTTGATAGCAAAGGAAGTTGTGTCTGAGGGGAGAGAATATGTTATGGGACTCTGTTTTCAGCTCAACTTTGCTGCAAAGCCAAAACTGCTTTAAGAAAATAATGTCTATTAAAAAAAACCTTTTTTTAAGACTCTAAGAAGTGCAGTGGGCGTGGTTCAGCTCTACAGTGGCACTACTGTTTATCAGCTAAGAAAATGGAGAATTTATTTTTGAGAAGATAGTTAAAAGTAATTGCTTACAATTGTTTCTTTAAATATATATATATATATTTTAATGTCATAATGTGAATTACAGGGGATAGATTTGGAATGACTGTTATAAAATTAAATTCTTTTTTTATTTTTTATTTTTTGAGACAGAGTTTAGCTCTTGTCTTCCAGGCTGGAGTGTAATGGCATGATCTCAGCTCATTGCAACCTCCGCCTCCCAGGTCCAAGTGATTCTCCTGCCTCAGCCTCCCAAGTAGCTGGGATTACAGGCACGTGCCACCATGCCCCGCGAATTTTTGTATTTTTAGTAGAGACGGGGTTTCACCATGTTGCCCAGCCTGGTCTCGAACTCCTGACCTCAGGCGATCCACCCGCTTCAGCCTCCCAAAGTGCTGGGATTACAGGCATGAGCCACTGCGCCCTACCTAAAATTAAATTATTAATTCAGCAAAGCTGAAACTTGTATTCAAAGATTTTGAGATGGAAGGACAACCCGGACTACAGCATCCCATAAGCTCTACCGTGTGTGTGCCCATCAGGAGCAGTGGGTGTCCTGTGTCTGTGCGGGGCATGCCTTGCAGAGCCACAGCAGGGACGCTTCTCTAATGCCAGGACACCCGGTGGTGGCCATCTGTGTGGTCCCAGTTCCCAACTCAGCTCTTTTCACACTGGCCTGTTGAATTTCACTGAGCATTTCTGGCCCTTCCTCCTTCCCTTGTAAGTCTATACTAAGGGTTGCCTCGTCTCCAACCCCTGTTAGGCTCTCATTAAGAGTAATTTGTTTTCCTTTGCCAGTGAGAACTATCTAATTCGTTGGGGCAGTAACGGGATGCCTAAGGAAATAGAGAAGCTCAATAACCTCCAAGCAGTGTTTACTGTAAGTCCTCCCTTCTGTTTAATCATTCTCTTTGTTTATGGTATGAACATATTCACATAATGAATATGTGGGAAACATACAAAATGAAAAGGTTAAAGGAAAAATCATCAATCCCCCAGCAGGAATAACCCACCCATTTATTCAACATGTACTTCAATGCCAGGCATTGATTTAGACACTTGAGATAGATCCATGAAAAATCAGGGGGAAAAAGCAGTTTTTGTCCTGATGGGTAAGACAGATAATAAACGATAATTGATCCAGGCACAGGGACCCAGGCCTGTAATTCCAGCACTTTGGGAGGCTGAGGTGGGAGGATCATGTGAGCTCAGGAGTTTGCGACCAGTCTGTGCAACATGGTAAAGCCCTGTCGCTACTAAAGAATTTAAAAAAGGAAAAATGACCTCAACGTAGAAGAGGAGTGATGCTGCCAATTCGGATATGCCAAAGAGAAGCGTGCTTCCTTTAAGTGAAAAGGTAAAACTTTATAAGTATGTATGTATAGGAAAAAGCAGCACATATAGAGTTCGGTACTGTCTTTGGTTTCAAGTATCCACTGGGGGTCTCGGAGCATATTCATCACAGACAAGGGGGGACTACTCTGTCAGTGCGCCACAGTACATGTAACTAGTCACCTGGAGCCTTTATTTTTCCATTAACAGAAGCCTTGCAGACCTAGAGTAGAAATGCAGGGTGGACGTTATCATTGATGGGTATCTTGGAGACCTGAGTTAACTAAATTACAGAGGCTGGATTTGGAATGATTATGTTAAAAGTGATTCTTGCTTTGGTAAAGAGAGCTTGGGCAGCTGTTTCATATAACCAATTTGAGATGTGATTAATTTTTTTTCTGAAGTTGAATTGAATGAGAGATATCAGCTCATTCCTGGGTTTACTCAGCCATCCTTAAGAATACAAATAATGGCCAGGCATGGTGGCTCATGTCTGTAATCCCAGTACTTTGGGAGGCCGAGGCAGCTGGATGCCTTGAGCCCAGACGTTCAAAGCCAGCTTTGATAACATATGAGACCTTATCAAAAAAAAAAAAAAAAGGCAGACAAGTGTAGAACCCTAGCTACAAGAGAAATAGATATTTCATTGACACTTCTGTCATGATTCAGTATACACTGATAAGCTTTCAATGGAGACCTCTCATAAATCAGGTGAATAATCCCATAAAGCAATGCCTGTCTTATAGTTGCCTCATGGGCTTGTTTTGAAGAGGAAATGAAATGTCACAGACTTGTGTGGATACCCAGTAAATGTCAATGTTACACAAGTTTTTACTTCATTTGATGCTGAAATGCATCCTGTACTGAGATACATCCAAGAAGGCTATACAGTCGCAATGATGAGGGCCCTGCTTTTTCAATACCCTGCTTAAGCTGATGAACTGGAGACTTCCGACGGACTATGATCTGATTTGTAAATTTGAAGTAGGAACCGGGGAACAAAAAAGCACTTGTTTACAAGCACAAAGTCATGTTCTCTGATGCCATAATAGCTCTTGGATGAAGATGGGGAAGAAGAGAGTCATTCTGGTATTTCAGCATTGAGAAATAAGGTCTGAACAGGATTTTGTTGTAGAGGGTAAAGAGAAAAGAGACACGGGGGACAGAGTGGTCCAGCCCTACCTCCTCTTGCACTTTCTCTGCCCCTTTAGGACCTCAGCAGCATGGACCTCATCCGGCCCCGTGTCAGCCTCGTGTGCCAGATTGTCCGCGTGGGCCACATGGAGCTGAAGGAAGGCAAGAAGCACACCTGTGGACTCCGAAGACCTTTTGGAGTGGCAGGTACAAGAGAGACCCAGAGACAAATGTGAAATAGTGCAGTGCTGTGGAAAATAGCATGGCAATTTCTCAAAAAATTAAACATGGAACTAGCAAATGATCCAGCTGCCCTACTTCAAAACAATCAAAAGCAAGGTCTGGAGGAGATATTTGTACATCCATGTTTGTAGCAGTATTATTCACAATATGCAAAAGATGGAAGTAACCTAGGTGTCCACCAGTGCATAAATGGACAAAGAAACTGTGGTGTGTACGCACAATGGAATATTACTCAAACAGGAAGGGAATTCTGACACATGCTACATACAGCGTAAATGAACCTTGAGGAGTTTACACTAAGTAAATAAGCCAGACACAAAAGACAAATATTGTATGATCCCACCTATGTGAGGCACCTAGAGTAGTCAAATTCGTAGAGACAGCATAGAATGGTGAGTGCCAGGGGCTGGAGGGGGAGAATGGGGAGTTAGTGTTTAATGGGTATTGAGTTTCCATTTGGAAAGATGAAAAAGTTCTAGAGATGGAAGGTGATGATGGTTGCACAATAATGTGAATACACTTAATATCACTGAACTGTATACTTTAAAATGGGCAAGATGGTACATTTTATGTTATGTGTGTTTTACCACAATTTTGAAAATAGAGAGAGGGAAGGAAGGAGGAAAGGAGGAAGAAAGGTGGGAAGAAGGCCCAGAGATAGTAAGAGATGGATCACGTTGTCATTGTCAGTATCAGACACGCGCATTTACTGCCTGGCACTGCCCGTTTTCTTTGCATGGTTTCTGTGTCCTCACCTAGCCCACGCTCCCTCCTTTCTTTCCCCCTTAGTGCCCAACACTGTGTCTTATACACAGTAGAACGTAAGTTGTGACTATTGGAATCCTCCCTGTCTGGGTCTGCATATTGATTTTAGTGGAATAAAATACTCGCTGGGAAGTGGTTTGCCTGTCTAGGAAATTAACTCTTCGAAGACAATGTTGTGTTTGTTTCTAAATGCTTTCAGAGAGGCTCCTTGGCTTACATCAAACCCCAGAACCTGCCAAAAGGCCCAGCATCTTCCTCTGTAGTTTGTTCAATTGAGGAAATACAGTTTGGGCCTTACGTTGACATTTTGATTGCTCATAGATCGAAAACGATCAAGGATATGTCACAATTCTGCTCCTGGACCTTTGGTTCCAGACTTACTAAAAAGTAACCTGATGTTAAATTTCTCAAGAATTTAGCAACTTGGGCAGGGCACGATGACTAATGCCTGTAATCCCAGCACTTTGGGAGGCTGAGGCGGGCGGATCACCTGAGGTCGGGAGTTCAAGAACAGCCTGGCCAACATGGTGAAACTCTGTCTATACTAAAAAAATACAAAAGTTACCCAGGCATGGTGGCATGCGCTGTAGTAGTCCCAGCTACTTGGGAGGCTGAGGCAGGAGAATTGCTTGAACAGGGGAGGTGGAGGTTGCAGTGAGCCAAGATTGCGCCACTGCGCTCCAACCTAAGTAAAAGAGCAAGACTTCATCTTTAAAAGAAAAGGAGAAGAATCTAGCAACTCGATCTTGTAGAGTTTTTAAAGTGGGTAGTCTGCAAAATTGATCCAGTAAAACCCAGACCCCTTCCTCAGCACCTCATGAGTCACTGTTTTGCTGGGCTGGGTATACTGGGAATCACCATTGGCATAGAAATCTAAAAAAAAGTCCCTGCTTGGTACCTTTCTTCCTCCAGTGTTTTACGTTTGCTGATCCTGTTCTTTTCCATAGTAACTTACTGAGGCATGAAGCAATTAGTTTCTTTAATGAAGTTTGTCTTTTTCCTAGTGATGGATATTACTGATATCATACATGGGAAGGTAGATGATGAAGAAAAGCAGCATTTTATTCCCTTTCAGCAGTAAGTACTTTGGCATGTGTCCCAGATGACTTGAGACCTGGATTAGCCATTCAGTTGTGTGTTAACACAGAAACAGGTGCTAGAAACCATTTTCTCAGAGAAGGAAGGATTCTAAGCTGCAAGACTGTCAGATAGGAGCTGAACAGAAAAGGACTTTGTTCAAAGTCCTTGATGTTGGACTCCCTTTGAAGAGGGTAAACTGAACTTCCCTGATTCTATAGAAAGGACCAAAGGAATAGAAAAGGGCAAGTATCCGTCTGCCCTGGAATGCAGAGAGTGGTACCGTCCTTGTGTCACCAGTGCCAAAGTATATGTGCAGTCTATTGCATGAAACAGGCATCATGGAAGACACAGAATCACGTGGGCTAGCATAGGGCTTCTCAGACTACATCATGCATATGAATCAGGGGAGCTTGTTAGGCTGCAGGGGGGTTCTGCCTCTGACAAGCTCCCAGGTGATGCTGATGTAGCTGGTCTGAGGGCCACACTGTCTGAAGCAAGGGACTAGGAGATGAGAGAGTGAAGGGCTGACCCTCCCATGGGCTGGCATTCCTGCATGTCGAGGGAAAGCCATCCTGGGAGTGTGTGAAAGGATCCCTGCAGAGCTTCACTAAGGCCCTCCATATTGAGCTGTAGGAGCTGGAGCCATGGGTAGGCCATTGAGGAGCTGTTGGGAGCAGATTCAAGCCATGTCACTCTGAAGAGGTGCAAGTGTGAACGTCGTGACCTGCTCCAGCACCGGCTCAGACAGTGTAGGCCTAGCGGAGGCCGAGAGCATTGCCGGGACCAACTCCCACCAGGGGCCATCGTGCCAGTCAGAGGGCATCATCTCAGTTCACTTGCAGCTGCCACTGCAGACGAGTAGAACAAACTGAGAATTCCACAAACCAGCCAGAATCATATATTTGAGTTAATATATCATTTGTTTACAAATGATATCACAAATTAGTGGAGAAAGATACATTATGCAAAAAAAAATTTTTTTTGGAGAAAGCCATTTAAGATCCCTAAGTTAGATTGCAGTCTCACAACTTATGCCAGTGTAAATTTTAGATGATTAAACATACAACTGTAAGAGCTAGAATCTTAAAATATTAACAGGAAAATAGAAGTTTTATATGGTAGTAATGAGAAGGAGGCCATTTTAAAGATTCAACCAAAAAAAGAAAAATTGATGGATTTAACCACCCAAAAATTGTAACGAACTTATACATATAAAAAAATCAATATAATCTTTGCAGTGTGTTTGAGAAAGGATGAGTATTTGTAATATATAAAAAACTAATAGAAATTAATAAGGACATGAAGGGAATACACACACACACAGAGAAATGGCGTTGTACATTTATTGAGGATGAGTGAAATGCAAATTGAAACATCAAGGTTTAGTTTTTATCTTGACCACATTTTAGTGTTTGGGTAGATATAAAGAGACATACATTACTTATAGGAATATAAATTGTTACAATGCATTAAAAGCCTTAAAATTTAGATATTTTGAAAAATATATTCCATGATTAACAGTGATTATTTCTGTTGATGTAACTCTTGGTGATTTTGCCTCTGTTTTTGTTTTCCTGTTGTCTTTTTTTTATACAAAAATATAGATTATATGTAATATATAAAATATAAAAATTTTAATCTTTCAATGTTAAGTTCACACCTTTGGACCAGTTTCTAAACATAATAGTGCAAATAGCTCATGCTCAGTAGTACTTATCTCTTTTATCCAGAGGCTACTATGAATTATTTTTAAAATATGGCCATTGCACTTCATCCTGAGTGACAGAGCCATACCCTGTCTTAGATAAAATATAAAGTAAAAATAGGTAAAATAAAAGAATTAAAAAATAAAATGCACTTACCTTGTATGCTACCACCTATATATTGACCTTCCAAGACGGGACAAATATTTTATGTAGCACAGTGCTGAAGTTAATTATGTGATAACTTTCATCTCCATGAATGCTGCTCTTGTTTTGTGTATAATATAAAACACTGTATGCACACACCTATATAAATATGTATTGTATAATCTATAAATATGTTTAAGTATATTTAATAAATATGTTGAATTTAATACAATGTTAATTTGTTAATTACATTTATAGATATGTTCAATACAATCATACATCACTTCATGGCAGGGATATGTTCTGAGAAACATGTCACTAGGCTCTCTTGTCATTGTGTAGACACCACAGAGTGCACTTACACCCGGAATGTATGGACTACTACACACCTAGGCTGTATGGTATAGCCTATTGCTCTTAGACTGTAAACCTGTCCAGCATGCTACTGTGCTGAATACTGCAGGCAATTGTAACACAGTGCTATTTGTGTCTTTAAACGTATTTAAACATAGAAAAGGTAATGAGTTGTGCTGAGATGTTAAAACAGCTATAACATCACTAGGCAATAGGAATGTTTCAGCTCCATTAATAATCTTTTTTTTGAGATGGAGATTCGCTCTTGTTGGCCAGACTGGAGTCTAGTGGCATGACCTCCGCTCACTGCAACCTCACCTCCTGGGTTCAGGCAATTCTCCTGCCTCAGCCTCCCGAGTAGCTGAGATTACAGGGGCATGCCATTACACCTGGCTAATTTTTCTATTTTTAGTAGAGACAGGGTTTCACCATGTTGGTCAGGCTCATGTCGAACTCCTGACCTCAGGTGATCCACCTGCCTCGGCCTCCCAAGGTGCTGGGATTACAGGTGTGAGGCATCATGCCTGGTCAGCTCCCTTATAATCTTATGGGACCACGGTCATCTATGCAGTCTGTCATTGACTGAAACATTGTTAGGCATATGACTGTATATTGAATAAATATAAATATATATATAATACTTACTAGATATAAATGCTGTACCATATATATTATAGTACTATGAATGTGTTATATTTGTATTTAAGATTATATGTACGTAATAGGAGTGGCCTTCATGGATATGAAAGGTGTCTGAAAGAGTCATCTGTATATTTGCTGGTGGTGATGTGCCTCCTGCTTAATTTCTAACCAGCTTTCCTCCAGCAACCATATCACAATACTTAGACCTGAGATTGTCCCCACTACATAATCCACACTTTGAGTCCATGACGAACCCTGCCTTAATTTGATTACTGCTCACTGTGCCGCCAACAGCCACAGTGAAGTATTTACGATGTAGACTGCAGCCTCTGGCATTGAATGCCTAAGATTTACAGCAAGCACTGCCATAACCTACTTCAAAAACTTTACAGTGTTTTCCAGTGGGAGAGTGTGGTATGTGTATTCTGCAAGTCCATTTAGAGAGAGACATTTGTAAAAAACAGGAACTCAAGACTATAGCAATCCCATTTGCCCGTCACATATTGCAGCGTGTTTTATTGTCAGGGTGCAGGGAACCCTGTGGAGAAAACTGGCCTACATGCAGCGGACAGAGGAGACAGGAGACTATTGTACTGCCCGCTGAGGTGCAGTTGCTGATCGTGCTTCTGCCTTCAGTAGAATGGGGGCTGTGTTTGGTTCTTTGATCGCCCTTTACGAGCCACAGCCTGATAAGGTCACTCAAGTGGAGCTTGTTTGACAAACCAAGATCTAGCTTGTCATCACATAGAAATCTGAGAACATCTGCCAGACACCAGGCATATACACCGTGCTCGTACATAGGGGATTGACACTAGACAGAAGCCTTAACAGGCATGGGATCCTAGCCCATCTCTTACAGATGGAGAAACTGAGGCCCAAAGGGAGCCTCTTGCAGAGCTCACTATCAAGTAGAAGTAGACCTGGGGGCTCCTGCCCCTCCTGTGGGTGCTCTGTCTTCAACTCTATTGCAGCAGCCTCTTCTGCCTCTGACAGAGCATGGAGCATTGCCTCTGATTTTAGTTGCTAACCTTTTGTCACCAGTTTTGTGTGCTCTTGGGGTTTTTTCCTCTCTCTTTGCCTCAAGTCATTTCCAAGGTGAATTTAGTATTTAAGATAGACACAAAATGGAAAACTAAGGAAAGATAGAATGGGGTATTTAGTGTTGATATTTCCAAATTATTCCCAATGACTCACCATTATCTGAGGTTGTGCTGCAGAGACTTCCTTTCTCCCCCTCCCACCTTACCTCTTATTTCTCTTTTCCAAGAATTGCGATGGAAACCTACATCCGCCAGAGGCAGCTCATCATGTCACCTTTGATAACATCACATGTGACTGGGGAGAATGAGCCACTCACTTCAGTCTTGAATAAAGTGATTGCAGCAAAGGAAGTGAATCACAAAGGGCAAGGTACAGTCCAGTGCCAGAGCTGGGAGGGACTCTGCTGAGGGTGGGGGACATTCACAGCTGGGTCCTTGGACTCCTGCCCTTTATTATCTTTCTCTGATACAAAACAGCCTCTGCTGGGGACCTCAGGCTTCCTACCACAGGCTTTTAAGACTGAACTGCATTGAAATGGACTCAGCAGTGATTTGATCACAGTTGTGTTTTGTAAATTCTGTGGAACAAATTTTTATCCCGTGAGTCTTTACTCTTTATTCATTTATTTATTTATTTATTTTGAGACGGTCTCATGTTGTCACCCAGGCTGGAGTGCAGTTGTGTGGTCTTGGCTCACTGCAGTCTCCACTTCCTGGGCTCAAGCAATCCTCCTACCTCAGCCTCCCAAGTAGCTGGGACTACAGGCATGCACCACCATGCTCAGCTAATTTTTTAATTTTTTGTAGAGATGGGATCTTACTATATTGCCCAGGCTGGTCTCAACTTCTGGCCTCAAGTGATCCTCCCACCTTGGCCTCCCAAATCCCTGGAACTATAGGCATGAGCCACCGCTCCTGGCCTCCACATTTTTGTCTACCCTTCATTCCCAGTGCCGACCCTAGATAATAATTATGCTGTATTCTGCATAAGTTTATCCCATCACATTTTTTAAAACTGAGAGGAAGGAAACCAAAGTAATACAGATGAATATGTATTAATATAAAATAATGTAAATATTTTTACATGTAAAATTAATATAAAATAATGTAGTTTTCAGTATCTCCATATCATGCTTTGTTGATAGAGTTTTAACTAAGAGAAGTTCTGCTTATTGAAACTGCATTTTGAATCAAATAAGGAAAAGCAGTTTAAAGACGCAAATACCAAGGTGATGACCATATTTGTAAAATTTCAAACATTGAATACTTTGATTTTCCTTAATATTTTATAAATCTTTCATCTTTTACTAAATATTTCCATGGAGAGGAACCACTCTGAGCTTTAACCAACTTTTTAAGACCTTACGTTTGCAGAGCTTATGAAATTAGTTTTAAAAAATGAGGCAGCATTGTTGTCTGGGGTAATACCGGAGGGTTTTTTGTCCTATGCCCAGAAAATTAAGGACGTGGACACACACGAAGATTGAGTTTAGGAGTGGAGGTTTAATAGGCAAAAGAAAGAGAAAGGAGAATAGCTCTCTGTCTCTTGTGAGAGATAGGGGCTCCCAGATTTTATAGGCAGGCTTGAGGAGGTGGTGTCTGATTTCTGTAGGGCCTACAGATTGGTTGGACCAGGTGTGACATTTACATCGCATGCAGGGAAGACTGGTCACTCCACTCTAATCTTATGCAAATGGGCTTTCCACCTGGCTGGTGCCATGTTGTCTGCTTCTTACTGTACACGTGGCTGGCAAAGAGAAGGGACGATGGAGCCGCCATGTTGGACATGCCTAGCTCCAGGTAGCCCTTTCATATTGGCACAACTGCTGGCATTCACCCATGTGAGCTTCCAGCTTGCTTGTCTATGTCTGCAGCTCGATTTTACAGGCTAATCTTTGTTGGAAAAGAAACGGCTGCTTTTCATTAAGAGGAAAACCTTGCTGAGGATTTCCTTACCGTCACTATCTGTCTAAATAATTTATTAACTCCTATATCAAAAATATGTAGAGACTGGCCCGGGGGTGGCTCACGCCTAGCACTTTGGGAGGCCGAGTTGGGCAGATCACAAGATCAGGAATTGGAGACCCTTCTGAACAACATGGTGAAACCTTATCTCTACTAAAAATACAAAAATTAACTGCGCATGGTGGCGGTTGGCTGTAATCCCAGCTACTTAGGAGGCTGAGGCAGGAGAATCGCTTGAACCACGAAGTCAGAGATTGCAGCGAGCCGAGATTTTGCCACTACTCTCTAGTATGGCAACAGAGTGAGACACCGTCTCAAAAAAAAAAAAAAAAAAAAAAAATATATATATATAGAGAGAGAGAGAGAGAGAGAGACTGAATTAGTCTGTACATATCAAAAATACAGAGACTGAATGACTTTTTTTCACTACCCTGTAACCGTCTTCCAAAATGGAAGCAATCAGAAAACATGTTATTTTCATAATATTTAGTTTCTTACGTACTTGCAATTATCCTGCATAGGAAAGACATGCCAGGAATCAATAAAGAATCTGAAAACAAATAACTAAATATATTTCTGTTTTTGTTTTTATTTTTTTGAGATGGAGTCTCACTCTGTCGCCCAGGCTGGAGTGCAATGGTGCAATCCCGGCTCGCTGCAACTTCTGTTACCTGGGTTCCAATGATTCTCCAGACTCAGCCTCCCAAGTAGCTGGGATTACAGACACCTGTCATCACACCTGGCTAATTTTTCTGTTTTTAGTAGAGACGGGCTTTTACTGTGTTAGCCAGGCTGGTCTCGAACTCCTGAACTCAAGTGATCCTCCCACCTCAGTCTCCCAAAGTGCTGGGATTACAGGTGTAAGCCACTGTGCCTGGCCCTATTTCTGTTTTTTTTTAGAGCTCTTAACTAAGTATAATTTCAGCTGGAGTGGAAAACCCTTATACTAAACAGATTACCATGTATGTGTAATTTTTTTTAACAAAACTGAAAAAAAGTCATTTCCATTCTTGCTACCTAACAGCAAAACAAGCACTTTTCATTTTTTTCTTTCTTTTTTTCCCAAATACCATACTTCATGCCAAACAAGCACTTTCCAAATGTTTTTATGCTCTTCACAAATACTTTTTTATGGCTGCATAATATTCTAGCATTTAGACTTAAGAAGAGGGAATCCCCTAGATAAACACTTAAGTGCTTTCTAATTTGTCGTTATTACAAATATAAAAACCCGTACTCTGACTATCTTTATACATGAAGTCTTTTCCATGTTTAAGATTGTCTCCCCAAGAAAATTCCCAGAAGTTGGATTTCTAGATCACATGCTGGGAACAAGCCTACACCTGGAGATATAAATATTGCCAAATCGCTTGCCAGAGATTTCTACCATGTGTGAGTGTTTATCTTACTGCACTCTTGGTTATGTTGCAAACTGATATTTAAAAATCATTAGGGCTGGGCGTGATGTCTCATGCCTGTAATCCCAGCACTTTGGGAGGCTGAGGCAGGTGGATTACTTGAGGTTAGGAGTTCAAGACCAGCCTGGCTAACATGGTGAAACCCCATCTCTACTAAAAGAAAAATATAATAATTAGCCAGTGTGTTGGTGCACACCTGTAATCCCAGCTACTGGGGAGGCTAAGGCATGAGAATTGCTTGAACTCAGGAGTCAGAAGTTGCAGTGAGCTGAGATGATGCCACCGCGTTCCGCCTGGGCAACAAAGTGAGACTCTGTCTCAAAGAAAGAAAAAAAAGAAAAATGGTTTGTTCTCAGAGGTTTAATAACTATACACTTCTTTTTCCTTTTAACATTCTGCCTTCTTTTTCTATGTAATTCATTATTGGGAATTTATTTTAATGAAAATACAAGATGAGAAATTAAATTTTCTTAGGTAGCAAGAAAATAATCCCAGCATATTCATGTAATTATTGGATTTTTTTCATGATTTGTTATGCCTCTTTTGCCATATATTAAATTGCTATATACTATAGTATTTCATTGTTTCATGTATATGTCTTTTTTTTTTTTTTTACCACTAGTATCACAGATCATTGTAGCTTTACCATATATTCTGGTATCTGGTAGGGCCTATCTTTACCCTTTTTTTCCCCCAAAGTTAGCATCTGTTCACATCTCTGTCAAATTCTCAAAGAGGTCATGTTGTGATTTTAATGGAAGTGTCATTAAAATTATAGGTCAACTGGGGGAGAATTTACATCTTTATAGTAAGATTGTGACTATACAATTTAAATGTTGTTCTCAACAGTTATGCATGTGTTATACAGATCATACAAAGAACTAAAAATTTATCTTTTATTTGTTTAAAGGACTTTGGGTATCCTTGAAGCTCTTGCCAGGTGACCTCACACAGGTTCAGAAGAATTTTTCACACTTGGTTGATAGATCAACAGCAATAGCCCGGAAGATGGGCTTTCCTGAAATCATACTGCCAGGTGAGCACTTTGCATGGCTCACCTGTTTGCTTCCTCCTGTGCAGCGATTGCTTCTTATTGGACGGTGGAGGCAACTTGGATCCAGAAGACTTGGTTGTTTACATTCATTGGTCCTGAAGCGACTGGGACACAAACAGAGACACCTGCAGTACTTAAGAAGCTACCCAGTGTGCAAGCCCAAGATAATGCTTTTAAACATAACTCAAATGTTCTTACTCTCTCTTTTTACACAGACTCTCTCAGATAGCACAGGGTGCTCCGTTCAGGAGACTAATTGGCCTCATTTGTGTGTCCCTTTCTCGTTAAGACGTCCCCAGCACGTGGGCGCCTTGCTCTCTCCATTCTCTGCAGCTCCAAAAGTGCTCTGGCTCTCCCTGTTCTTGTTGTGACGAGAATGTCAGCATTTTCCTGTTTCATCTTCTTTCTAGTGATCTGCATATGTGTGTGTTCTCTCGATTCGCTGATTTCACCCATTTAATTTTAATCTCCGTACTAAGAAAAGGGAATCAGTCCCTCAAATTTTATACATGTTGCTATAAACTAACTGATATTAATAGAAATTCTAGAAAAACAACCATGCCATGTTAGAAAAATTCTAGAAAACCAACTTATCTGTTGCACAAAAATCCAGGTTATTTTAGGCCAGGTATGGTGGCTCATGTCTGTAATCCCAGCACTTTGGGAGGCCGAGGCAGGCAGATCACTTGAGGTCAGGACTTTGAGTCCAGCCTGGCCAACATGGTAAAACCTGTCTCTATCAAAAATACAAAAATTAGCTGGGCATGGTGGCAGGTGCCTGTAGTCCCAGCTACTCAGGAGGCCGAGGCATGAGAATCGCTTGAGCCCGAGAGGCAGAGCTTGCAGTGAGCTATGATTGCGCCACTGTACTCCAGCCTGGGTGACAGAGCAAGACTCTGTCTCAAAAAAAATAAAAATAAAAATAAAAAATTCGGTATTTTAAAGTAATACAAGATCTTATTTCTCCTTTGAGAAATTAAGGGGCAGTGATAACTTGTTGCTGCCTACACTCTCTACATGTAGTGAGTCTTCAATGAATATTTGTGGAATGAATGAATAAAAAAGTAATAAAATGGAGATCACTCTTTTTTTCTTTTTCTCATAAAAGAAGTTAGTTTTTTGCTTATTTTGTCCATTACATGGCCATTTTACCCTGATATACATTCATCAACATTCTGGGAAAATGTTTTGTCTTCTTGTTAAAGAAAAATTTTACCGCTGCGACAAGACACAAATCTGAAAACATAAAGTAGAGGAGTTTATTCTTTGATCAAGGTGACAGCAGGGTGCGCCATGCCTTAGCTAGGTTAGGAGGAGAATTCCCTGATAATATCACTAGAAGACGTGTTTTCACAATTATGGTATTCCATTCTACAACCATAACCAAACTTTCAGGTACAAAAACCACATCAGCACCTGTAGATTAAATCGATCTTATCAGCATAGTCATGCATACTTCTGAAGGCATATGTTCATCCCTGTCTTTTTATTCTTTTTTCTCAATAAACTGAGGTCTCCTATTCTACCGGCCTTCCATTCATTCCATTTGATCTCCATCTCCTGATACCTTCATTAGTTGATACGATTGGCTACTGAAGCTTGTGCATTCATCACCGTAGTTTCTCGCGGCCATGAGTATTACTCAGCTCCATCAGCATCACTTATAAGGCGACTTTCTCTGCATTGGTTAATTCTGGATTAGCCATTTGTCTAATCTTATTTCAGATTTTTTAAGGCCTTCTCAACGCTGCGGCTATGGGGTTTGAAAGCTTTCGCTCCTTTACCTCGGAGACAAGCCTTGTTCCGTCTGAAAGCCTTCTTCTCTCCAACTTGTCCAAAGTCATTCTCTGGTGCCAGCTTTGTTCCGCCGCTTGCTGGCCGAGGAGGGCCTGCATTTTTCTGGAGGAGAGAGAGCCACTCTGATTCATTTAGAATATATGCAGATTTTTCTGTTCTGTATTTTTCCCCCATCTTTGCTGGTTTATCTACCCGATTATGGGTCTTTGATGGATTGGATGACGTAGCGAGTCTGGGGTTTTGGTGTGGATGTCCTCTTTCTGTTTTCTGTTAGTTTTCGCCTTCTGACAGTCAGGACCATCAGTGCAGGTTCTGTTGGAGTTTGGCAGGAGGTCCACTCCAGGCCCTGTTTGCCCTGGGAATCAGCCCGCCCAGGCTGCAAAACCAGGCGAATATTATGAACAGCAGCAAATCTTGCTGCCTGATCATATCCCTCTGGGAACAGTTGTCGTGTCCAGCAGGGGTACCCCTGGCTTGTGAATGTGTTTACTCGGCGTCTACTGGGGGGATGTCCCCAGTTACCCGAGCGACTAATTTGGGGGTCAGGTACACCCGAGTTTGACGGAAGGGCAGTCTGTCCGTTCTCCCTAGATCTTCAAAGCTCTGTGCTCGGGAAACACCCACTACTCTCTTCAAAGCTTCAGAACAGGGACATTTAAGATCTGCAGCAGCGTTGCTGGGCTGCCTTCTTGTTTGGCTATGCCCTGCCCAGAGGTGGCAGCATACAGATGAAGGCGCAGGCCTCCCTTGAACTAAGGTGGGCGCGCTCGGCACCAAGTTCGAGCTTTCCATGCAGCTTTGGTTACGCTACTCAACGCCTCGGCAATGCGGGCGCCCCGCCCCCAGTCCTCACTGCCAGCTTGGGCAGTTCAATCTCAGACTGCTACGTGCTAGCAATGAGCAGAGACTCCATGGGCCGTGGAAATCGCCTACTGAGCAGCGGCGCCGTGGGATATAAATCTCCTGTGTGGCGCGTTTGGGCTACAAGAGCATTGGAAAAGCCGCAGTATTCAGGGTCGGAGTGGCCTGATTTTCGCAGGTGGCTGTCCTGTTCACCTGCTTTGTTTGGCTTACGGAAAGGGAATTCCCTGACCCCGCTTGAGCTTCCCGTTGGGCGAGGCGATGCCCTGCACCCTGCTTCGGCTCACCGGCTGGTGGGCCCCCTGCACCCACTGTCTGACACCCCCAAGTAAGATGAACCTGGTACCCGTCAGTTGGGAAATGCGAAATCACCACAGTGTTCTGTAATTCACACCACAATAGAGAAACAAACTGAAAGAGACAGATATCCTATTCGGCGAAACAGCCACATGCGCCTTGGAACACGTCTAGATGATCTTTTATTTTTGTCTTTCTTTCCTGAGAGCAACATCTCTACATACACAGAAGAGACAGAACAAGACACAACGATCTACACGTCACTACAAAACTCTGGCCAAACACAGAAACAGTCTGAACACACAACACTTCAAGCCTTCCAGTACTGGGGATTAGAAAGGCACGCACCACCACACATACCCGGACTTTTTTTTTCAATTTTTGAGACAGAGTCTAATGAAGAGAGAGAGCTGTGTCACCTGCGGAGTGGCAGTGGTACCCAATCTCAGCTCACTGGCAGACCAGCCACCTCACCGGGTTCAAGGGCATTCTCGCACTCCTGCCCTCAGCCTCCCAACACGTAAGCCATGGGATTCACAGGTCGGCACATCAACTTGCCCAGGCCCAGCTAAATTTTTGTTTTTTGATAGACGATTGGGGGCCCCGTTTTACCATCGGTTGGCCAGGCTGGTCCGCTGAATCCTGACTCAAGTGATCACTCCATCCTCAGCCCTCTCAAAGTGCTGTGATGTACAGATGTAGACGCCATCCCTTGGGCCTTCGCCATCATTCTACTGGATGAATCGTTAAGAAACGATGTAAGCCTTTGGCATTTCTACTGACCAGTCCTACTTGACCTTAAAAAACAAAAAACCAAACACAAACAAAAATAACTTAAATGTCTACTTCTACAAAGCCAGATTTGCAAAGTAAAACTGCACCTTATTCAAGGAGCCTCCAGGAGAAACAGCCAAC